TTTGTTTTACTTTGCCTGCAGCAGTCCAGGCCCAACCGAAGGCCGTAAGGAGCCGGAGCAGGGCAGGCTTTCTGCGTTATTTGGCCATCTAAGGTCCAGATGCTGGAGTCGGCTGCCTCTGCGCTATTGGCATTGCGCTTTTTATCTTCTGCTGCTGCTGGCTGCTTTCTGGGCTGCCTCGGTGGTGTGGGAGGACTCGCAAGAGGGGCTGCAGGTGCTGCAGGGCGGAGGAGGAACACCCCTCCCGTCATCTCAGACCTGGATGGGCGGGGGCCTCCCCCCTCTGCTGCTTAACTCCGACTCGCCGCAGCACGTGAAGATCGCTGCTACTGCTGTGGCCCGAGGGCGCGAGGCGTCGGACCAGCTTCTTTGGCTGCTTCACTCTGCAGCGCAGCAGCAGTTCGGGAGGGTGTTGCTGTGGCTGCGAGCCCTTACCCTCTGGCTGAACAGTTTCCTTTTACAGCCCTTTGTGGCCCTGTTGCGGCACACTGGCGTATTGGCGAGTGTCAACGGGACGTGCAGCGTTTCCGATGCTCCCGAGGCCGCATCGGATAGCTGGGACTCTCAAGNAGCGCCGCGCACACTTTTTTGTGTGGTGACGGGGCAGAAGGTGGCCTTAGCAGGGAAGCGGGGGCGGCTGTGTGGGTAAAGAATGCCCCTGAGGCCCCGCTTGACTTTGGGGTGGAGGGCAGCGCAGTGGAGCTGGGGCCTTACTGCTTCGCGCTGTTGCTGCTGCTTGTCTACGCCCTTTCTACGGCCCTGCATAGGGCCAGTCTTGCGGGGTTTGCAGCATTCAAACACCTCCTGTTCGTCTGGGGAATCGGCCAGGGCGGCTCCTTAACGAGGCCTTGGGGCGAGTCTCTGGCAGTTGCCTGCAAGAGTTCATTGACTGCATTTGCAGTTGCCTTTGTGCTCCTTGCTCTTCTGTGGTGCGCAGCAGCAGTGGTAGCCCGCTGCGTTGCTCTGGTGGGGTCGGTATGGGGACGCTTGCTCGGTAGAAGGCCCGTCGCGGCTGCCAGCAGCCGCCAGCGCAAGGCAAAAGATTGCAGCACCGACGGCCACAGCTCCAGAATAGACACGGGGAGCTGCCGAGGAGCGGCATGGTTGGAGATTTTGGCTGCGTGCCTGACATGCTGGGTGTTGTTGCTGTCGGACCGCGAATTTGTTATGTTCACTTGGACCACGCTACAGCCGCTGCGGCTGTCAGTGCTCTCAACGGTGCTGCTGCTGCGACTACCTTCTTCCCAGGTGGCTGCCTTGCTGACGTGGCCCCCGCCTTTGCGAGAGCCAGCACTCGTGCTACAGCGGTCGCAGCCCCTCAAGATAATCGACCCTGTGGCTGTAGGCTCGATGCTGGGATGCGTCCTTGCAGCTGCGGTGTTGCGTCTTGTGCTGCTTTTGATGGCTAAGCTGGGAGGCCTTGTTAAGAGTAATTTTACCCCGTCTTGCACCGCGCAGGCTGATGGCGACCTGAGGCTGCTTGGTGTCTCGCGGGGGCAGTGGGCAGG